GGCCAAAGCACGTGTCCGGCATTCTGGAAAGGAAATGGGCACAGTCGTTTCAGATCGTGAGAAGTGTCAGGGGTAGATCAGGGAGAGGTGAGAAGGTGATGGGAGAGGTGCTAACTTCTATCAGGTGTATCATTTTCTTTTTTTTTTGGCTGTGCTGCCGGCTTGTGGGATCTTAGTTCCCCCGACCAGGGATTGATTGAACCTGCCCCCTCAGCAGTGAAAGTGGGGAGTCCTAATCACTGGACCGCCAGGGAATTCCCTACCAGGTGTATCAGAGAAGAACGTTACATGCCCCTTATTCCTCTGGCTTAGAATTCTCTTTTGCCTTTTTCCTTTCCATTGGGCGGGTATGGAGCTCCCCTGAACTTTCTTTTCTCTAGGTGCTAATGGAAAGCTGGTATTGAGTTTTGAAAATGTTGCAAGAGAAAAGGAATTTCAGGAATTTCCTGTTTCCAAGCAGCAAAGGGTAGACACCATTCCAGGTCATAAAATTGGTTCAAAGACTCTTATCTGAATAAAGTATGGAATTGGGAATAGTTATGAAAGTTCTGCCCAGAACCGAAACTTGTTCTATTTTCTGTTACTAAAAACTGTCCTTGGGAATGACATATTGACATGTGCAATAACATGGAGAATCTCAAAAACATTATACTGAATGAAAGAAACCAGACACAGAAAAGCACCCTGTATCATTCTGTTTATGTGGAGCTCTAGAAAAGCCCAGTCTACTCTATGGTGACACAATGTCGGTCAGCAGTTGCCTGGGGTCAGGGGTGGAGGCAGGACAGACTGGACAGGGTCAGGAGGGAGCTGCCTGGAGTAATGGAACTGTTCTGTATTTTGATAGTGCTGGTAGGCACTCGGGTGTAGACATCTGTCAAGCCTTATCAAACCGTACAGTTAGAATGCGCGTGCACTTCATTATTTGTAAACTATACGTCAAGAGAGTTTGTTTTAAACAATTAAAAAAAAAGTCCTTGGAAGTATTTCTACAAGGTAGGGGAGGGTCTTTTTAAGACACTCAGACTTATTTTCAGATCTTGTAAAAATAACCTTTAACTTCTAAAATATTTGTTATTCTAGGGAATTCCCTGGCAGTCCAGTGGTTAGGATGCCGTGCTTTCACTGCTGTGGGCCTGAGTTCCATCCCTGGTCGGGGAATTAAGATCCTGCAAGCCACGTGGCACGGCCAAAAATTTTAAAAAAAGAAAACAAATTTGTTATTCTAATTGGTTGTTACACTTGATAATTGTTGTCCTGGTATTGATATTAAAATAGCAATCAATATATCAAGTGACATCCTTGTATTCCTAAAAGATACACACACACACACACACACACACACACACACACACTCTCTCTCTCTCTCTCTCTCTCTCTCTCTCTCTCTCTCTCACATTCTAAGGATGAAAACTGGCACTTCCCTTTTCTCTATATATGTATGAATATGTAATAAAACCCATGACTCTGTCAATCCCTTGTTCAAACATGAGTTTGAACGTCTTTTAGAGGCCGTATAGCAGAATGACCAAGAGCATAAATCTCTAACCAGGTTCAAACTCTACCTCTGCCCTTTACTTAACTTTTCTCAGTCACTGTATTAGTAACATGGGAATAATAATAGTACCTACTTAATGTTGTGAGAAGTGAATGAGTTAATACATGTAAAACACCCAGATAAGTACCTGGCTCTATAGGGTATAAGTCTGGATAGGCTAGTTATGCTGTAATAGCAAACAACCCCACAATCTTAGTTGTTTGAAACAATAAAGGTGTTTTTTATTTTTTTTACCATTTTATAATTTATTTGATTAGAAATTGCCAGATTCATGATGCACACTTCTCAAATAAAATTAGATTATAATCATTAGCATGATTCTAAACATGCTAATTTATAGATAAAGTAATGCTTAAAGTTAAGACAAAGTTGAGACATATCATTGAGAAGAAATAGGAAAGGATTTTGAATTTATAAAAGCACAAGTTCTATCCCGAATTTTGCTACAGGTTTTTCTCTGATCTTGGCAAGTCACTAGCTCCATTTGTCTTCATGTTCCCATCTGTAAAATTGTGGTCATGATCCTTGACACTGCCTTTCTTAAAAGAGAATGTTAATGAGGATGAATAAGGTAATGCCTTGTGGTAGAAATAATAAAGGTTTATTTCTCACTCATGCCACACATCCATCACAGGTTGGAAGGGAAGCACTGCTCACCCTCAGTCCCTCAGGAATTCAGGCTGATGGAAGCTCAATTTGGACACATGCTTCCATGATCGCCAAGGCAGGGAAAAGGGATGTGGCAGCTCAGCGCTGGCTTTTAAATTTCTGCTGTCAAAATCTCATTTGGCAAAAACAGCCACATGGTCACACCTAACTTCAAAGGGGCAAAGACCATGTGTCTAGAAAGGCGGAGGGAGGACCAGAAAAATGTTTGGTGAAAAGCACTAACGACTACCATGGTTAACTTTTTTTTTTGGCTGCACCTTGTGACATGTGGGATCTTAGTTCCGCCAACCAGTTGAAGTGTGGAGTCCTAAACACTGGACCACCAGCGAAGTCCCAACCACTGGACCACCAGTGAAGTCCCATGGTTAACTATTATAATTGAATTTTAAAGTAGGCAGAAGAGGAGAACGCAATGAGGAGGTGACATTTAAGCCAATGCCTGAATCACAAAAAAGGGGAAACTAGGAGAGCATTGTGTGCAAAGTCCCTAAAGCAGGCATGGGCCTGAAGCCTTTGAGGAACAGGAAAATGGCTCAAGTGTTTGCAAAATGGTGAATGAGAGCGAGAGCTGGCAGGGCTGGGTCACACAGGCCCTTGAAGGCCACAGTAAGGAGTCTGAATTTTACTCCAAAGTGTACTGGGAAGCCACTGTTTAACCAGATAACATGGTATAATTTTTATAAAGACCACTCACTCTGCTTGCTCTGGTGGGATGGGCACGTATGGAGGAAGGGAAATCAGTGAAGAGGCTACAACCCAGGTGAGAGATGCCTGTGGTGTGCACCATACTGGTCTGGGCCAGTATGATGTTGTGTGGAACCCAGGGTCCCTGTAAACTATACTGACAGAGGATAAAGGGAGCGTAGGCCTCAGGCTAGACAGTGAATGTCTACCACTGCCCCATGTAATTACAACCTGCTTTTGATCCTGTCTTGTTGCTGAGGATTGAAAAGAACACGTTTACCACATCATTAGCCACGTATCAAGTGCCAGAGGCTGTGTTGATATATTCTAGCAAAGAAACAGCTTCTAAGGGGCTTCCCTGGTGGCACAGTGGTTAAGAATCCGCCTGCCAACGCAGAGGTCACTGGTTTGAGCCCTTTGCTCCATGCTTCATCCCCTGTACTCATAATGTGGGGTGTCTTGGGGCTAATGTGTGAAGCTGTTCTCCACCTGCACTCATTTCTTTGGTGACCTTATCCATTCTCACTGCTGAACAATTCCCAAATTTTCATTTCCAGATCCATATGTTTGTACCAGGCTGCAAAATTAGTGGGGAAGGAAACTGGCCAATGGGCTTTACCCATCAGGATCTGGTCATCAGGTTCAAACGTTCAGAAACCAAGTTATGTTGCAGAGCAACTAAGCCCGTGTGCCACAACTACTGAGCCTGCGCTCTAGAGCCCGCGTGCCACAACTATTGAAGCTGCTTGCCCTAGAGCCTGCGCACTGCGACCGCAACTACTGAAGCCCGCGCGCCTAGAGCCTGTGCTCCGCAACAAGAGAAGCCACCGCAATAAGAAGCCCGCGCACCGCAACGAAGAGTAGCCCCTGCTCTTGGCAACTAGAGAAAGCCTGCGTGCAGCAAGGAAAACCCAACGCAGCCAAAAATAAAAAATTAAAATTAAAAAAAAAGAGGAAAATCAACTTGTACTAACTAAATATAGGTTGACTCGCAAATGGAAAATCAATTTATTAATTTATAGAAGCAGATCGACTTTTACTTATTTTTGCCCATTTGCTAGTTTTAAAAGGCTCATTGGTTTGATTCTGATTATAAAAATAATGCATGTTCATGATAGAAATTTTCAAAAAATCAGAAAATACTAAGAACAAAATGAAAATCATCTATAACACCCATAATAACACTTTACAAGTATCTAGATCTGTGTGGATATAATTTTAGCACTATTGGGATCATACTATATATACTTTTGCATCTTACTTTCTCTTATGTTTATATGGTAAGCATTTGGGGAAAAGAAAAACTTGTAGGCCTTGTCATTTCTTACAATATATTTATTTTTACCACCCTGGGAACTACTTTTTTTACGGCGTCAAGGTCCATTACCAGAAGGTTGCTTTGGTGAACATGAAATCAGAGCAAAAATTAATAAATTAAAAATAGAGTAATTGTACGAACAATTGCATCCAGGCCAGGTTACCTGTACCATACACCCCCGCTCCTTGCATCTTTATGTGTGTATCCGCAATGCCAAGAGGGAGCGCCGGGCCCCTGGGTAGGGGTTCGGGGCCCAGGGGACCGCAGGTGGAAGCCCAGGGTCAAGGCTATAAGCCAGGTGGGCCTGCGCGAAAGGCACTAGGCATGTTGAGGCTTCGTCTGAGCTCACCGGTATCCCGCAAGCATAAGCGAGTGGAGGTGTCCCAGGTCGGCCTCCTCGAAGCATCAGTGGTATCCCGGCCGTCTCCCGGTTTTCGCTGCGGCCCGCGGCCCTGGACCAGCCGCCCCGGGCGCGAGCAGCCGAGTATGTAAAGGCGAGGGAGGGCGGGGGAGGGCGGAGGACGGCAGTGACCTCGCGGGCGCAGAACCTGCGACCTCCGCCCTTCGGGGCCCGGGGTGGATCTCGGGCTCCCCGCGGGCCCTCCCCCGCCGCCGCCCTCCGTCAGGAAGGCGGGCCTGGAACGGCCTTGTGGGCGCGGGCCTCACGGGGTGCCTCCGGGCCGCGCAATCGCTTTCAACGAAGACGGCGCGGGGGCGGGACACGTGACTTCAGGCTCCACCCCGGCCCCGCCTCCCACGCTCACGGCACCGGGCGGGGGATGCTGGCAGCTAGCGGCCCGCGGGAACCATGCTCCGGGGGTTGGCGGGCACCTGGGCCGTGCTCGGCGCGCTGCTCTGGGGCTGTGGGCTGGCGCTGCTGCAGGGCGGGATGCTCTACCCCCAGGAGAGCCGGTCGCGGGAGCGCAAGGAGCTCGACGGCCTCTGGAGGTTCCGCGCCGACTTCTCCCAGAACCGGCGCCAGGGCTTCGAGCAGCAGTGGTACCGGACGCCGCTGCGGGAGGTGCGGGCTCTGGGGACGGGGACCAGGGCAGGGAAGCTCCTGGAAGCCGGGTCGGGGGTGTGGGGAGCCTTCCCCTGAGCCCTCGGAACTGCCGGCCAGGAGGAGGTTAAAGATGGACGGGCCTGTGGGGGCGTGGGGTCGACCCACCGGAGAGTGACCGGGAACGAGCAAATGGGCGGGCCCGATGTCGGTGGGGGAGGCGGAGCCGGAACAGTGTCCCGGCACCGACCTGGGGGCGGGTGGCCGCGCAGTGGCAGGAGGGGAGGCTTTGGACGTCTTGGGGCCAGCTCTGCCCTGGCAGGAAGGACCTTGGGTTCCAAGATTCAGGTAGAGGACGGGGCTTGGCATCCAGCCGAGGATCCCCCTCTAGGCCTCCCCTCTGACTTGGATCGTGTGGGCTGAGAACAGGAGCAGGGGCAGGCCTGTGTGCCCATCCGACACTCACCTCACTTAGATCCTCTTTTTAAAGTCTTTGCCGCCCAGCCCTCATCAGCGGAGGAAGAAAGGGGCGGGCGGGGGCTGGTGCCAGGCACTTCTTGCGCAACTCAGAGTTTCCTCAGCAAAGCGGCCCGTGCGCCCCGGCCAGCCTTCCTCCCTCCCTGGGGCAGTCAGTTGGTCATCTTCCTCTTAGTCAGGGTCTAGATTGACTTTGCAGATCCTTCTTGCCCTAGCCTGGTTGTGGCCATAGGCTCACCCCTTTTCATGGAGACCCTGGTGCCTGCTGCCCGCTACCCTGAGAAAGAACTTATGGCCTCACCAGACCTTGGACACAAAGCATCCTAGCAGTTGGTCTCTCATCAGCAAGTTATCCATCCATTCATCCAATATTTGTTGAGTCCTTACTATGTGGCAGGGCTTGTGCCAGAAGCTGGGCAGACAGCTGTGAGGGACAGGAAATCCCTGCTTCCTTGGAGGTCACATGTGTCTTCAGGAAGCTCTTCCCCAGGCTGCTTCCAGACTCACTGAGTTCTCTGCCCCACTCCTGCCTTGCCTTCTCCCTGAGGTGTTCAAGGGTGCGGAGGTTCAGGGGATTCCCTGCGGGGCTCAGATTCACCTGGTTCTGCCGGGACGTCCAGAGGTCGTATCTCAGGGGCCCTGGCCCCTAAGATAGTCCCCTGCCATGCTCCACGCTCTCTTCGTAGAGCTGCTCACCTGGCAGCAGAGGCCTTGTTCACTCTTTCATTGCCAGCGCCTAAAACAGCATGTAGGTGTTCACTGTGCACCACTGAGTGAGTGCGTGCGTGCGTGCGTGACTGGGTCTGCTTCATGGAGTCGCGAAAATTAACTGAGTCCGTAAAAGACATTGGTCGGTTGCTGGTGGGGTGGCCTGGAATCCGGGAGGGTCTGGGAGAAGTCATCTCGTCCAGCTTCTTCCTGTAAGTGGGGCTGCTGGGGAGGGCCCCTTAGCTTCCCAGGTGATCTGGACCTGATTCTGGTCCTTGTCCCCTCAGTCGGGCCCCAGCCTGGACATGCCGGTTCCCTCCAGCTTCAACGACGTGGGCCAGGATGGGCGGCTGAGGAGCTTCGTCGGCTGGGTGTGGTATGAACGGGAGGCCGCCCTGCCCCAGCGATGGACCGAGGACCTGGGCACACGAGTGGTGCTGAGGGTCGGCAGCGCCCACTACTACGCCATCGTGGTCAGTGCAGCGAGCGGCAGGCGGAGCGAGTAGGGTGCCTGGCTCCCAGCCGTCACCCGGCAGCCTGCCTCCTGCGGTGCCCGCGGGGTGGGGGGCACACTCATGCCCCGCACTGGGGTTTGTGCCCTGGGTGGGGAGGGTGGCCTCATCTATTCCCCCAGAGCTCCCTCCCTCCACCTCTGAGGCGGGTGGCAGCTGGCAGCCCGTCCCACCCGCTCCCCCCATACTGCACTTCTACGTGAGGGAGCGCCTGAGGTGGCAGGGCGCCCTCCTCATATATCCCTGTGTCTGCAGTGGGTGAATGGGGTCCATGTGGCAGAGCACGAGGGGGGCCATCTCCCCTTCGAGGCTGACATCAGCAGGCTGGTCCAGAGTGGGCCCCTGTCCTCCTGCCGCATCACCATCGCCATCAACAACACGCTCTCCCCCAACACCCTGCCGCCAGGGACCATCCTCTACAAGACGGACACCTCCAAGTGAGCAGCACCTTGCCCCCCTCCCCGCTCTGCCCAGTGGTCTTCCCGTCAGGGGCAGGGTGGCCTTAACAGAGGTGAGGCCCTGGCTCCGGGAGGCCAGGGAGACGTGTGAGCTGAGGTCGAAGGACCCAGGGCAAGGCCACTGTCCTCCCATCCTAGGTACCCCAAGGGTTACTTTGTCCAGAACACAAACTTTGACTTCTTCAATTACGCGGGACTGCATCGGACTGTGCTCCTCTACACCACGCCTACCGCCTACATCGATGACATCACCGTCGCCACCGACGTGGACCAAGACACTGGTGAGGCTCCTGGCAGGGTCTGCGTCAGCCAGGCCCCCAGCGGCTTTGTTCCCTGTTTGGAAAGATCCCCTAGGAGAAAGACTGTCCCATCCACCTCAGCAGCTGGAATCCAGCCCGTCCGAGCTGGCAGGGGCAGCGGAAATCACCCATCTGCTCTGACTTCACTTTGGGAGGAAGCGGGGCTTGCCTCAAATCATAGCTCGTGGTGAATAACAGCCCAGGATGCAGGAGAACCCCATGTCCCTTTCCCACTGTGCCGCTCTCACTTTATCTCCCCTCGCTGCAGATTAAGCTCAAAAAATTAACGGCTGTCAGCTAGGGGCTCCTCAGAAAGGTGGCCTCAGGGCACTCTCATCTGTGTGACCCCAGGTCACATCCCTTCCTTTTCTCTCTTGTCTGATCTGTCTTGTCTCCTGCAGGGCTGGTGAATTACCAGATCGTTGTCCAGGGCAGTGAGCACTTCCAGCTGGAAGTGTGTCTTCTGGATGAGGAAGGCACGGTCGTGGCCAAGGGGACCGGGGGCCGGGGCCAGCTGCAGGTGCCCAGTGCCCACCTCTGGTGGCCGTACCTGATGCACGAGCACCCTGCCTACCTGTACTCGTTGGAGGTAATGGTGGTGAGGACTGGGCTGTGGGAGGTCTTTTCCCCCCATCCAGCAGCTCTGGCTTCAGTAGGCATGGTCCTCTGATCTTCCCAGTCACTTGGATTGAAGAGTCCCCAGCCTGCTTTTTTCCAGCCCTTGGTGGGGAGGCCCAGTTTGAAGAGCAGGCCCCAGGGGCAGGGTGGGCAAAAGTTCCTTCTTTTTTAAATTTTTTATTTTTTTACATATTTATTGGAGTATAATTGCTTTACAATGGTGTGTCAGTTTCTGCTTTATAACAAAGTGAATCAGTTATACACATACATACGTCCCCATATCCCCTCCCTCTTGCATCTCCCTCCCTACCCTCCCTATCCCACCCCTCTAGGTGGTCACAAAGCACCGAGCTGATCTCCCTGGGCTATGCGGCTGCTTCCCACTAGCTATCTGTTTTACATTTGGTAGTGTGTATATGTCCATGCCACTCTCTCACTTTGTCACAGCTCACCCTTCCGCCTCCCCGTATCCTCAAGTCCATGCTCTAGTAGGTCTGCATAAAAGTTCCTTCTTGTTCATGGCGGATGCCTGTACTTCCTGCATCTCTCTACCTGCTGTTCCAGAGGTGGGCTGCCGTGGTTTGCAAGGGGCCATCCTGCCGAAGTGCGGGCTGCGTTGTGTTCAGGCCGTCCAGGATGCCTCATGCCCAGTGCTTGGCTTTTGCAGGTGAAGCTGACTGCACAGACGGCTGCTGGGTTTGTGTCTGACTTCTACACCCTGCCCGTGGGGATCCGCACCGTGGCTGTCACACAGAGCCAGTTCCTCATCAACGGGAAGCCTTTCTATTTCCACGGGGTCAACAAGCATGAGGATGCAGACGTGAGTTGGGGCTCCTGAGTCCCTGTGGGGGGCCATTTCTCGCCATCCCTTCCTCCGCGTCCCTTGAAGTGGTTGAGGGCAGCTCAGAGCAGTTAAGCAAACCGCTCAAAACCACTGCCCGATGGGGCCTGTGCTTGGCCTGGATAGTGGGCTAACAGGGTGACTCTGAGGGGCCCAGCTCTAGTAGGAAGGGCATCTTCAACGGGGACAGGGGGCAGGGGCTCACTCTGCTGTGCTGTCCCCTAGATCCGAGGGAAGGGCTTTGACTGGCCGCTGCTGGTGAAGGACTTCAACCTGCTTCGCTGGCTGGGCGCCAATGCCTTCCGCACCAGCCACTACCCCTACGCAGAGGAGGTGATGCAGCTCTGCGACCGCTATGGGATCGTGGTCATCGACGAGAGTCCCGGAGTGGGCATCGTGCTGGCGTGAGTGCCCGCCAACCGCACAGCCCAGCCCGCCCAGCTTGGCACCCTGTGACCCGCTCCCTTTCCTCCCCCGGCCCCGCAGCCAGAGCTACAGCAACGTGTCTCTGCAGCACCACCTGGAGGTGATGGAGGAGATGGTCCGCAGGGACAAGAATCACCCGTCTGTTGTGATGTGGTCTGTGGCCAACGAGCCCGCTTCCTTCCTGAAACCAGCTGGTTACTACTTTAAGTGAGTGCCCCTGCCTTCCCCGGGTCAGGGGTGAGACCTCAGCCCGCTGGCCCAGCTCAGCCTCGGCTGGTAGCTGCGGGAGAGCTTCAGTGGGCCCTGGGGTGGGCGTGGGCTGTGAGAGGGTCAGCACCTGCTCCCAGCCCAGGTGCATCCATACCTGGTCAGTTCAGGGGACCAAGTACCCACCCACCCAGATTGTGATTTCAACCCAGTGTCTCCTTGACACACCTGAAATGAAATCCAGAGTTAACCTAACCCACTTATACACATAACTTCTAATTAAGAAAGAAAATAAAATAGTGACGTGGCCTAACCGTAGTATAAGGGAGTCATTTGTAAAATAGTCCGTGAGTGCATGGGCCTGACTCCCCGGAAGATGTAGTGAAGGGGTCAGGAGCTTGCATCTAGATGTGGCATCTCCCTGAAAGCACAGCTACAAAAGCTGATGACGGGGGCTGGAAAGCACAGCTGGTGACTCTGATCCCGTGAGCAGCGTTTTCTTCAGTGCTGCCCTCTTCTAAAACACTGAGCCACCCCAGGTAAAGTTGCAACCAAAACCAGGTATAGTCTTCCCTCGATTTTTGTGGTATCTCCGTTCCTGGGAAATTTAGTGCGTGTTAAAACCGCACAAAACCGCTTTGTGATGCTTCGGGTTCATCTGTAAAGGGGAATTAAGCTTTATAAAGCCGGCTTACCTAGGCATGTAATTATAAACAGGTTTGAAACGACATGCATGTTCTAACCGTTCTAAGTTACATTGTTGGACGGGACCAGGCCATCTAAAGTTCATGGTCCGCTCACTGAATGCCAGTAGCTCCCCCCACCCCCCAGGCATTGCTGTGGACAGAAATCCCACTTAGGGGTCATCTCCCCGCCCTGGGCTGGCTCCCCTCGGGGTGTTCCTCGGTTCCTTCTCCTTCTTAACGATCATGCAGTTGTAGTGTAGCCTGGAGAGGGGAATTATTTCACTTCCTGTGGAGGCAGCAGAGGCCATGGAAATACTCCCTGAGGCAGACACTGCCTGCATCCCAGTGTCCCAGATGGAGGCTCTGAGGAGTGGACCCACCTGGGTGAAGCTGAGCTCCGGACACACAGCCCCAGAGCACGTGGCACAGGGATGTTGAGCCAGGCTGGTGGACGGAATTTTTTCTGTGAACGTGAAAGGATGATAAGCTTCCAGGAGCAGGTGCCTGAGGTTTCCTGTGAACCTTTCTGGGAGGTGCGGAGAAGAAGAGGCTTGATTTGGGAGCAGTGGGGATGGGGCAGGATGTAAGTAGGGCTGCCTGGGCCGGAGGCGCTCGGCTGGGCTTTGAAGCTCCCCAGGTGACAGACAGGCTGTTTCGGACAGTGGGTTAGGGACTTGCAGGTCGCAGGGCACTGTTCTGGCCTGTGGAAACCAAAGCCTTCAAGTGAGAAGAGTTATAATGGGGGGGGGCGGGGTGTCAAGGAAAAGAAAACCAGCTGTGAGGAAATAGAAGAGGAAAATAGGCTTAAACAGTGAGTGAGGGTGACCTGCGCTGGGGAGGCTGAGCCCTGACCACAGACCAGCCCCTCTGTTGGGAAGCATCCTCTCGCCACCCCTCCTTGGTTAGCAGGACTCAGTGTAAATGCCGTGTCTTCAGAGAGGCTGTGCTGACGGTCTGGTCTCGGGGATGTGCCGCCTTACGGTCTCATAGAACCCCGTGCTTCCCCTTCATCATTCCCGCCAGCGCTTGTAATTTGTTACATTCGCCCGTGTGGCTTCGCTCCATGGAGCTTCACGGCTGTTTAAGTTTCTAGTGAGTGCCCAGCGCACAGCCTGCCTCCCAGCCCCCGACTTACATGCTAAGTTAATATCCATCCTAATCCACACCCCGTCCTATTTTCAAGAGCTTCGCCAGAGATGCAGAGCCCAGCTTTTGGCAGTGCCCAGCCCAAGGACCTCTGCTGTGTGTCTCCCGCCCCTGGAGGATGGCCTCTCCTCTGGGAGGGGTGGGGGACTAGGAACTGGGGAGGGAGGAAGGAAGAAAGAATGATGTCAGGGAACGTGATGCCTAGAAGAACGTGTCTGCTTACCTGAAATACACTGGAAGGCAGGGAGGAGAGCGGTGTCTTGGGGGTCTTTTTGGCTGGGAAGATGAGAAGGAGAGGATGCGGGATGAGAGTCCTCCCTGGACTGACTGACGGTGCTGTGTCTTCTGCCCTCCGTGGACAGGACGCTGATTGCCCACACCAAAGCCTTGGACCCCTCCCGGCCCGTGACCTTTGTGACCAACTCCAACTATGAAGCAGACCTGGGGGTGAGCCTGGGGGTCTCCATGCCACGTCTCCCCTCTGCCTGTCCTCTCATCCTGCCCGGATGCTTGCTGACATGAGCCGCTGGGAGGGACCACAGCAGCCAGTCCACCCATTTCCATAGATGGTCTTTAGGTTAAAGAGGACTGCCCGTTGACTTGCCAGGCAGTGTGGCCTCTTGAATCTAAGGAGGCTGGGCACAGGGAGGTCGAATTCATTCTCAGTTCAGACTCATCAGTTTTTATGCACCTCGGTTTAATTTTATGCCCCTCAGTTTAATAGGCTCAGAAAAGGGTAGAGGTTTAAGGGAGCCTAAAGTCATCATCGTCCCGTTTCTCAAACCTGGCTGATCGTCAGAACCACTAAGGGAAGCTTTCTGAAAGTGTAGATATCTGGATTCTGAGATTCTGATTTAGTAAAGTCCAGGGTGGGAATCTGAGTTTTTAAAAAACTCCTCAGTGATTCCAGTCATCAACCCAGCTTTGGGAACCGGACTAGACTAGACTAGATCCAGACCCTGGGATTGAGAATCAAAGGAACAGGCTCACACAGCCGGCCAGACCTCACGGCCACCCTCACGGTCCCTGGGTGCAGCAGCCCCTCAGAAGCCGTGTTGAGTTGCACGGAAGCTGTAAAACATGGGAGCGAGAAGATGCTCCTCCGCTAGAGAACTGAGGCCGGTACTTAAAAGTGCCCCAGAGAGAGAAATCATGTAAAGGAGAAAGAATGGATGAGAAAACCTATGCACAAGTATAAATTGTGAGCACTGTCATTTTGACATGGATGGGACAGTTTGTAGCCCTGGTGTTCCTGTGCCATCTCTCGACAACACCCCCTTGAAGGAGTGCGAAGACTGTGGTCAAATAGCAGTGTGACACAGGCAGACCTGGACTTTCTCAGAGCCTAAGTGGTGTCCCTTCCCATTCTAGTGGGCAGGGGAGCCTCTGCCGGTCCCCCCAGAAGGTTGCCAGGCTCACCTGGTGGGGTGTGTGAGCCATGGTCATGGTCATGTGCCCACCCAGAGGCACCACTTTCCACTTGCGTCTTTCCGCCACCAGTTCGGAAAGGTGCCGAGGTCACTTGGGAAAGACGGACCACGAAAGTCACAGTGCAGACTTTGGAGGTGAGTGTGGGTTCAGGTGAGCTTTGCTGCCCACTGAGCACCACACTGTTCAGATTCGAGGCAGTCCCGCCCCATCATCTGGGCTACCCTCCTAGGAGGGAATTTTCCAGCCACTTTATGGCCCACAGTACTAGCTCAGGAAGGTGAATCAAGAGCCTTTGTGAGGAGAAAAACTGCCTTTGTCCCTTAGTTGGGAACACTTCTCCAGGGCCAGGGGGACAGCCAGTGACAGGAGCACAACCTAAAGAGGAACACAGTCGGGTTGGGATGGGCCCTGGGCTCCCACTGGGGCCAGCGCGCTGGGCACCCTCCCCTGAGCCCAGCTGCAGCCAGGTCGGGGGCACCAGCCCAAAGTTAAGAGACTTGTTCCATTCAGGTCTTTTCTAACCCCACGTCCTATACGTGTGAGCAGCCAACTCATTTCTTTTTTAAAATTAATTTTATTTTTGGCTGTGTTGGGTCTTCGTTGCTGCACATGGGCTTTCTCTAGTTGCGGCGAGCGGGGGCTACTCTTCGTGGCGGTGCGCGGGCTTCCCATCGCAGTGGCTTCTCTTGTTGCGGAGCATGGGCTCTAGGCTCATGGGCTTCAGTGGTTGTGGCACGTGGGCTCAGTAGTTGTGGCTCGTGGGCTCTAGAGCGCAGGCTCAGTAGTTGTGGCACACGGGCTTAGTTACTCCACAGCATGTGGGATCTTCCCAGACCAGGGCTCAAACCAGTGTACCCTGCATTGGCAGGCGGATTCTTAGCCACTGTGCCACCAGGGAAGTCCCCTAACTCATTTCTGTGTCCCCTTCTCACCTCCTGTGCCAGAAGTGCCGCCCCCCCGCCCAAGTGTAAGTCCGAACGCTATCCTACACTCTCCTGGTTCGTGAACACGTTTTAACACTCTTCCAGGTGCCTTATGTGGACGTCATCTGTGTGAACAGTTACTACTCCTGGTATCATGACTATGGGCACATGGAAGTGATTCAGCTGCAGCTGGCAACCCAGTTTGAGAGCTGGTATAAGACCTACCAGAAGCCAATTATTCAGAGCGAGTACGGAGCAGAAACCATCACAGGGTTTCACGAGGTAAGTAGTGTAGACATTTGAGTTATTTTTTCACTGTCTTGGACAGTGATGTCATTCACTGCCCCAGGCTAGAAAGGTGCCTCCTTCCCAGTCCCTCACTTGTCCTGATGACCTCCTATAGCTCACCAGGCTCACCTTAACCTACCCCTCCACATGGCTGCCCTGGACTCAGCCTCTGCCTCACTTGAGTGGTCCTCAGACAGCCTCCCACTAGCTGGCCAAATGGTCTTTGGAACAAATCCAAACCTTGGGAGTCCCGTCACTGGCTTCTCCTGGCCCACAGGACGAAGCCCTAATCTGTGGTCAGGGCTGTCAACATCCTTTGCCCTGTGCCATCTCCCAGGTCTTCATCCTCCTCTGCCTTCAGTCCTGGACGCTGGCCTGTTTTCACTGTGCTCACTGGCTTCTGCTCTGGCTTGGCCTGTTCCTTCTACCTAGAATGCCCTTCTTAGCACCATAATCATCAACTAATGGATTCTGTTTTGTTTTTTTTAAGGGATTATTTATTTATTTATTTATTTGTGTATTTATGTATGTATGTATTTATTTATTTTTGGCTGCATTGGGTCTTCGTTGCGCCGCGGGCTTTCTCTAGTTGTGGCAAACGGGGGCTACTCTGTTGCAGTGCACGGGCTTCTCATTGTGATGGCTTCTCTTGTTGTGGGGCACGGGCTCTAGGCACACAGGCTCAGTAGTTGTGGCGTGTGGGCTCAATAGTTGTGGCTTGCGGGCTCTAGAGCACAGGCTCAGTAGTTTTGGCGCACGGGCTTAGTTGCTCCGCAGCATGTGGGATCTTCCCGGACCAGGGCTCGAACCCGTGTCTCCTGCATTGGCAGGCAGATTCCTAACCACTGCACCACCAGGGAAGCCCAACTAATGGATTCTTACTCAGCATTCGAGCCTCAGCTTAGGTGGCCCCTCTTTGGTGAGGTTTACTCCACCTGCCCGGGCAGAGGAAACTCTTCCCCCTGCTCCGTCTCTGTCTCAGCATTTCTCACTGTGCACTGTCATGATCTCTTTGGCTCTCTCCTTGACCAGACCGAGGGCTCCAGGAGGGAGACTAAATCCTATTTATCGTTGCTTCCCAAGCACTCAGCAGGGTCCAGCACACAGCGGGTGCTAAATGATACTTGTTAAGGGAAATGAGTGAGATCTTGGAGCAAGATTTTGGTTTTGGGGGGAGTTTTTTTTTTGGCTGTGTTGCACGGCATGCAGAATCTTAGTTCCTCGACCAGGGATTGAACCCACACCCCCTGCATTGGAAGCGTGGAGTCTTAACCACTGGACCACCAGGGAAGTTGTTGGAGCAAGGTTTCATCACTAGCTTTTTCTCCTTGTTTTGTCCATTTCCTCACCAAAGATAGGCTGTTTTGTGGGGATTGTTTTCATGTGGATTCTTGAACCCCAGCCAGCCGACACCTGTCACAACGGCTGGGGTTCCTTGTTAACACATTTCTTCATTTGCTGATCCTCAGTAGGTTGAACAGTAACCCAAATGGACTCCCTTATTCTGTTCACACCCTTAAATTCATCTTGCCTACACAGAGTGCCACTTGGACAGACTGCTAATGTAGGGGGAAGTATCTTATGAAGACAAAGTACATACATTTGTCCTCCCTCTTTGAAAAGGTGACCAACTCTGAATTTTTAACAAATTCTGAAAAGGACTTCCCTGGTGGTCCAGTGGTTAAGACTTCCCCTTCCAATGTAGGGGGTGTGGGTTCGATCCCTGGTCCGGGAGCTAAGATCCCACATGCCTCCCAGCCAAGAAACCAAAACATAAAACAGAAGCAATATTGTAACAAATTCAATAAAGATTTTTTTTAAAAAAAGGAAATTCTGAAAGAGTCTGGGTCAGCACTCTCTGATCGTGCCTTTGTGGTGATAGAAATGTTCTAGACCTGCACCGTCCAGAACGGGAGCCACTGCCACGTGTGACTTTTGAGGACTTGGAACGTGACTAGTGTGACTGATGTAGCTTAAAGTAGTTTTATATTTAAATAACCTCTTGTGGCTAGCGTTAGACAAGGCAGGGTTATTTCCATTAAAACACAGAAGGAACTCGACATCTTGCCCTGCCCTCAAATTCTGCTTTGGAACTGCAGCAAAACAGGGCTCAGTGGTACAGTCGTATCTTCGGTGTATATTAGCTTTCACTGTTGTCGTTCTGTACCTTTTTTTTTTTTGGCTGTGCCACGAGGCATACAGTATCTTAGTTCCCCGACCAGGGATCGAACCTGTGCCCCCTGCAGTGGTGCAGTGGAAGCACAGCATCTTAACCACTGGACTGCCAGGGAAGTCCCTGTAATAGCATTTTTTTCCTATAATAGCATTTATATTTATTTATTTTGGCTGCGCCAGGTCCTAGTTGTGGCACTCGGGATCCTCGCTGCGGCACACAGGATCTTTACTTGTGGCATACGGGATCTAGTTCCCTGACCCTATCTTTCTAGTTTGTCGCTTTGTCTCCAATGCCTGCCATATAAGCAGATACTAAATAATTATTTGTTGAATGGATGGGCTAAACAGCAGCTACTTACCCAGAAGAGATACAGAAGAATCTGAGGCGAGTTAAATCTGAGTCACACTAGTTCTCAAGTTATGCACTGGCAGCTACTTCAAACTTGGGTTTTAAACTCATTATCCAGAGACACACTTTTACTCCTAGTGTAGTTCAGCTTTAAGACTGCACTGGGGAATAGAGATGTTAAAGATAAAGCAAATACTAAATTCTGTTTATGGGAATTCCCTGGTGGTCCAGTGGTTAGGACTTGGCACTTTCACTGCCGAGGGCCCCAGTTCAATCCCTGGTCAGGGAACTAAGATCCTGCGTGCCACACAGTGTGGCCAAAGAAACCCAGTTACTAATTAAGGTGTTTTTTTTTTTTTTTTTTACCCTGGGCTGTGTCATACCCTGGCTGTGTCCCTACACCAGCAGCAGCAAGTCCTGCAGTCACTATAGCCCACCGTGAGGACAGATATTTTGGTCATCACGTGGATCTTTATTTTTATCTAACATTTACAGTCCTGCTTGTTCTGAGTCCTAAATTTTCTTTGCCTTGACTTCCAGGACCCACCTCTGATGTTCAGTGAAGAGTACCAGAAAGGCCTGCTTGAGCAGTATCACGTGGTTCTGGATCAAAAACGAAAAGAATATGTGGTTGGAGAGCTCATCTGGAATTTTGCTGATTTTATGACTGACCAGTGTAAGTGGCAGTTCGGTGCATGGAATGTACCGCTTCTCCTTTTTTCAGGTTGGCATTTTAGTTCAGGACGTTTGGTTGTAAGAACCCTGGAAACAAGAAGGGGGAAAGCTGATGTAATCAATGCAGGCTATATAGAGGATTCCCTAGGAAAAGTAAGTTGCTTTTAGCAAGCAGCCATCACCTGCTGGCTGCCTAAATCATTTTAAGGTAAACAAGCAAATGGGAGAGGCTACCGTCTCAAGGCAGAGGTGGCTGGCTTACCTCTGTGTTTCACCACAGTATGAGGAAAAAGTGGACCTCGTACTGGATTGATTTGTGGGATATACTCATTATTCCAGAATAAGGTAGAAAGCCCGAGGAACTTCAGATATTTCAGTCTGTTTTATATTTTTCACTTATAAAAGGCAAGTTTGCCAAATACAGGTTAAGTGTCAAAAGGTTTTGAGTGTGGGAGTGTTTAAAAGCCTTCAAGGTGAATACGACCTGTACTTTCTCAAGTGGGGATAATGAGGGCTACTTCACAAAAGTTCCAAATGAGTTTCCCATTTCTTTCTACCCCTCTAGGTAACTAGCTTCTTGATATACCATAAACTTAGGATAGCAATCTGGGGAGGAAGGGAAGGATTTGGTAGTAGTGGGAATTACATTACATTACTTACGGGGAAAGACAGGTTTTTAGAAGGTTAAAGTTTTGTTTTGTTTTGATATATTTTTATTTATTTATTTGGTTGTACCGGGTCTCAGTTGTGGCAGGCAGGCTCCTTTGTTGCAGCTCGCTGGCTCCTTAGTTGTGGCATGCAAACTCTTAGTTGCAGCATGCATGTGGGATCTAGTTCCCTGACCTGGCATCAAACCTGGGCCCCCTGCATTGGGAGCACGGAGTCTTAACCACTGTGCCACGAGGGAAGTCCCTAGAAGATTAAGGTTTAATTAAAAATCCGAAAGGGAGAGGTGAAGAAAAAAAGAGACAGCATGAGCCTCCACTCTGCTTTTGGCAAACGAGATTAACAGCTCCTGGAAATAAGCTTGGATGGAAGTCTAGTTTTGTGACTAGGTGCACTGCTTCACGTAGTAAGGAATTAGCTGTGTGACCTTGTACAAGGTACCTACCTTTTCACAAGCCTGTAAAGTGGGGCTAACGCCTACCACCTTGCAGGTTGACACAGGGATTCCATTTGACGAAGCGCTTGGCACAGTGCCTGGCGTTTGCTTTTGGTGGAAGAAATTATTGTTGTCTTGAGCTTTTCAGTGGGAAAGACCTGCTTTCCATTTAACAGAAGCGGTGGTTTCTCTAGGAGATGGAAGGGTTCGCTGGGAGTGTAGCTGCTCCTTTCCCAGCTCCAGCTCTGGCGGACTTGCCACCAGGGGTGGGTACCCAGCTGAAAGTCTGCCCAGCGGGACTTTAAAATCTACGAGTAGCTCCCTCTTAGGCGCCTGTGACTGGTCAAGTCTCTGGCTCCCACTAGCACAGTTGTCTCCTCAGAGAGGCGCAAGCCTTTCCAAGGGGAGCTCTGTCTCAGCCCTGCTCCAGTTACCAGGCAGGTGGGTACCCATAATGTCTTAAACCTTATTTTGCAAGTAAAAGATAAATAATTTTGGATTATTTCCCTAAAAGAAGAAAAATTAACACACCAGGGAGCTAAGTGTTTTTGGGGAGCAGTGGTATTTAAATCTTTAACCCGTTAAGGAGCCACTTCATCAGATACCACTTCAGACCAAGCATCTCTAAACCATGAGGACCTCTCTGTTTAGTGCCCAGCTTGGCTCCAGGCTGGTTGTGATTTGGCCCATCAGAAGTCATCTGAAATACCTTTTGCCTTGTTTTTAGCACCACAGAGGCCGATAGGGAATAGAAAAGGGATCTTCACTCGTCAGAGACAACCGAAAAGTGCAGCATTCCTGTTGCGAGAGAGATACTGGAAACTTGCCAATGAAACCAAGTGCCACCGGTCAGCTGTGAAGTCACAGTGCGTGGGAAACAGCCCGTTTACTTTTTAAGCAAGAACTACCTCTCTGCTGACAAGGGCTCTGTCAGCCCCTCCTTCCCAAGTAGGGGGCGACTTCCACAGGACACAGAGCAAGCGCTTCCTGGACTGTGCATGGCAGACCGGGAAGTTTTCTGGTCTGGATTTTGTGGTCATTTGCTAGAAGGGAACGTTAGAGGTGAAAATAAAGGCTTTTGTAGTATGAGAGTAAAGAGTTGGCTTAAAAGCGACCATCCATAAATTCAATGATCTGTACTGCTGAAGCATCGGAAATGGTTCTTCTGTGTCAGGCCGTTTTCATGGCCTTAACCGAGTACGGAGTCTTGAGAAACCTCTGCTTCAGCACTCGCCACAGTCAGAGTCGCTGGTTACAGACTGTGTGCTGCCACAGGAACAGCCCTGCCGCTTTAGGGCCACCTGTGCTCAGATGCCACCTGTGCTTTAGGCCGGCCTTGACTTGAGTGGGTGACAGTAAAAGACAAGTGCTAGTAACTCCACAGATAAGCTGAAGTCCCAGCACATTCACAGAAAGTAGTATCATGCTGGAATAATGCACAAGGTCGACGTACCAGTTTCCAGAGTTAAGCTGACACGTAAGCATAAGAAAGGTAAGAGTTGAGGAATGTCAGAATTGGAAGGGAGCTGAGAGGTTACCAGTTCTTCTGGTACATTCTTCCAACCTCAGCCATAGTTTTTTCTGGACTGAGAGGGATAGATGGGCGTAGAAGCCCACTGGGCCATCACAGCTGACTGCAGTGAATGTGATGAGGCCTCTTTAAACGGGCTGGGCCTGCAGACAAGTAGGACAGGCTTTTGTACCTCTGGATGACGCCACCTGCTCTGCTCCTGAGGGTGGTCTTTCCTTATGGAATTTTTCCTCCTCCTCCTCTTCCACAGGCTCCATTAAGGCAAGTAAGGCACATTGTAAGAGTTCAGTGTTCATCTATCTTGGTTTAAAGCTGAAAGCTTTGGAAAAACACTGTCCAATCAAATAGAAGACCATGAAACAATACAATTCTTAATACAGAGCTTGATCCACTTCACTTGCGGGGGATTTCACATCTCAGCACATGCCCTTTTTTACCCTTCCTTTCCAAGCTCCGTGAAAGGAACAGTACAGATAATTTAACCTCATTTTAGTGGCCGTCTTTAGACCATTTTTAAGAAATGAGAGTATAGTCAGTTCAAATAATAAGTTAGGAATTCTAGTGGTTACATATTTCTTTCATTACCACTAAACTTAAGTCCCTTGGAGTAATCAAGTTTTGTGTTCCAGTTTAATGTCAAGGAATAATATATAAAACTCTTTACTTGACAAACATTAAAAAAAAATTAAACATCACAAACACATTTAAATGTTTTACAAATTAGAGGTAAGGTCCATTTCTTAAGTCCTAAGGTTCTAACACAGGGCACATTTGTTCTATTCAATAAAATATGGCTAACTGCATTTCAAATGGAATCATCTTTCTTACAGATGTTAACTTTTTAGATTATAACAGTGGAGTGTTTTAGATGAGCTAAAGTAAAGCAGTGGAAAAACAGCTGATTAATACATTCTATGTGCTTACAGGACTGTAAGCAGTAACATCTTTTTCATTAATTCTTGACAACCACATACATCATAAATCAACAGGAATTCCAAGAACTAGAATCTCTGAGAATTCTGCTTGTGTCTTCTCTAAGTTACATATAATTTAAGAGAAGAATCAACTCAGTACACCTGTAGAAATACATTCTACAGTACACCTGTAGAAATACCTGTAGAAATACATTTCAGTACACGTAGAAATGAAGCTACAGAAACAATTTCAAGAATAATTTATAAGACTGAATTCATTTCTGCTTCTTTTTTGAAATGCAATACTGCAGTATAAGAATGAGGGCAGCACAACTTCCACAGGTAACTTCTACATTTATTTTATACCAAAAAGTTATGTGCAACAAATAAACATTCTTACATATTTACATTTGTTTTTACCAGTTAGCAAAACTGTGTCCTAAATCTCTGATAAAGAATATTTCTATCTATATTAAAGGGGAAATCTGCCCAGTGAACTCCATTTTAAATGAATGTTTACTCTGGAGCTTAAAGCACTAGTAATAAATATTTTTGATGGAACGTACTATACAGATCATACACCTAATACTTAGGCCATGCTTAATAGTTTTATAACAAAACATTTCACCTTTTCTGGGCTAATTTGTTGAAAAAAATGTTTAACCAAGTAGCCTGGACTCCTACCCCCGCCCCCTTTGGGCGGCTCTGTGAAGGGTAGCTCTCACAAATTAGGAATCATAAGTGCTGCCTAAAATATCTGAATAGAAATGTTTCCCCAGTGCTTGCCTGTTGGGGAGAAATACACGAGGACAAAGACTGAATATCAGGTATTCCTTCCCAAATAGGTTACCAAAAATAATAGTGGGTTTCTTGTTGGCATTTATTCAATACTGATTTTTCAGGACAAGATCTGTCAGCATTCATTGGTGTCAAGCTTTGCTGAAGACAACTTTGCACTTTTGCTGATAGTCTTAAAAATAAATGAAATACAAGAAAACTAAAGCCAACTAACAGTTTTAATTTCACTGTAGTCTTGGTTCTGTATCCTACCTAGTAGGTCCAAGGATCTCTTGTACCAAATGATAGATCTTTGTCTCTTTGTAAGAAAATAGTCAATGCTTTCAACATCCTTAGAAGTAATGGATTTAAGGAGAGGCTCTATACATCAAGTAAAAGTAATTCCTGGCACACAGCTAGTTAAACCTGAGTTATTTCACCAGACGTTTACCCTCACTGATAGCAACTAGCTGCAATGAAAAATACCAAATCCTCCAAACCACCTAGATTCCCTAGAATTTATCATCTAACTACAACTTCTCTTATTTCTTCAAATGATAGGACTGTCAAATAGATAAGAGGCTTCGTTGTTACAAATCATTTTGAAAACCAAGAAGCAGAAATTCAATTTCTTCCCTAATCTGTTTTTCCACATTGGTGGCTAATAATGTTGCAGTGTTTAAATATTCTGTCTAAAATAGTCAAAATAGGGGGCTTCCCTGGTGGCGCAGTGGTTGAGAGTCCGCCTGCCGATGCGGGGGACGCGGGTTCGTGCCCCGGTTCGGGAAGATCCCACATGCCGCGGAGCGGCTGGGCCCGTGAGCCATGGCCGCTGAGCCTGCGCGTCCGGAGCCTGTGCTCCGCAACGGGAGAGGCCACAGCAGTGAGAGGCCTGCGTACCGCAAAAAAAAAAAAAAAAAAGATAGTCAAAATAGCCCTCAGATTTTATAACATGGGGTTTTCCCCCTCTTATGGGGTGTAATTGAGGATGTAGAGGGAAGCCTAAATTCTTCCCGGGCAAAAATACCAAATCACGCGCATGGGGGAGGGGGGGCGCGGGGGACGGGGGTGGGTCCTTTGCTTACAGCGAAACAGGCGTCACCGCGCTGGTATTTCAGGCAGCACATGGTCATCACCCAGTGAAAAGGAGGATATTAATTCTGGGGTCATAGGAATGTGGCAACAATTTTTCTACAACTGAAACAGTGGTTTACCCAAGGCTTAGAAAAGCAAAGGAAAAACTCGAAGGGTCTGGCTGAACACTAACGTTCTCTCATGTAAGAGTTGAAGATGTTCGCAAGAACGCAACATCAAGACAAGCTTTAACTCTACTCTAACTGATTGATACAAAATATGGTGAAAAACAATTTTAAATTGGTACACGAGGAACTTGTTTAGCACGACCAGAGTTATATATACCACGAAGTCTTCACCGTGAAGCCAGTTCCACTCTAGCGGAGAAAAGAGAAGCAGTAAACTGCTGGGTAGACGGGAAGCACTGCTACAAGACGACCTCGTTGCACGGTTTTCCAGCATTAGGACTTGTTTCTCCATAAATATCAGACATCTAATCAATGCTTTCTAGAGTTCTTTAACTATAGAAACAAGAACAATACATAGATAATATTGAAATATTCACATTCTTGGGAGAACATAAGCCTTGATGAAATCTGAATTAAGCTATCTTTTACAAAACTGGTTTAAACTGGTTGGAAGTACATTACAACTCAGATTTTATACCTGCCTTGGGCCAGAATACACTGCATCAATTATGACAGTTAGTTGGAAACTGCTGAACAGTTGCTGACTCTGCACGTTACAGTTTACAGAGCAGAGCCTGTCCCCTCCCTTCAAAAGAAGGCAAATAAAGCACTCAAAAGTTACCCGGTCTCTTTTTAACATAATGATGAATGGAATTGGAGGCAAAAACATGGCTACTACTTCTCAATCTAAGGAATAAAATGATCATACGGAACCTTTCTATAGAATGCAAGTTTTCTACTTCATGCTAAGAAAGGAAGGAAGGACACTTCTGCCCAAGTTCAACACACAAAATATTTGGTTTGAGATTTAAGACAGAAGGCACTTTTAACAATCTGATATAAGATGTTAACCATAGAAACATACTGTCACTATTTCATTTGGGTTTATTCAGATCACTTTCACAAACTCTGCATTTGGGTAGTTATTAGAAAGAGTACTGTATTTCACCTTGAGATATTTCTACCTTTAGTACTCCTCTCCCAGTTAAGCAAACTGAGCAGCATGTCAGCCCTAAAGTTTACAAATCCAGTATCTGACTCTAAAACAATTAAACTAGACGTCTGGTTAATTAGTAGAAAGAAGCAGGGAAAACACTACAGAGCTACCCAAGAGCAATCCTGCTCTGGAGCGACTGGGCTTCTACTGATGATTTCAAAGTCAATACTGTTTGGTTGACTGGCACCAATGTTAAGGAAAATTATCTGCATGAAAATTCAACTGTTGTAAGAGATTTTACCTAAAAATGCCATATTAATATTTCCAGCTTTTCTCCAAAGAAATCTACCCATTTTCCCATCTTTAGTATCCTGAAGGCCTTGGACTTGAAAGTCTGGTCACATGACTCATTCTGTAAGGTTATAATTGATCCAGTTTTATGACTAGGTACAAGCTTGACTTGAATGTCCAAATTTAGTTTCCTCCTTTCAGAGGAAGGAGATGAAAGGGAACCAATCACCCTATTATTTTTGCTGTCAATGCTAGACCCACAGCTCTCAGTGCTTTTCACAAGATGCTCTGTATGGACTTACTATTTTCACTATTTCTTCAGTCAACATTGAGCTGACATTTCTTCATTGCTACACTTCAACTAAACTGTACAGTAAGTTCTGCAGGGATGGATCCAATATTTCTACCTTTATTTACAAATATCACATGAATGGATTCTAGTTGAATCTACATGTTTAAATCCATCAGCTAAAAACATTACATATTGTAAACATGGCAATATTTAATACAGTATCTATTCTAAAATATTTTCATGTCATGATCACATTTGTTATAGCTGAAATGTAATTTATACACATTAGAGAATTACTAGCAATGGTTGCTCACTTTACAATTGAGGGAAGGAGGCTAGGGCTACATTTATTATTTCAGAAACATCTCCAAAGTAAAGTTAAAGCTTGTCTTTGATTGGCTCGGCGTATCCTCTTTTTTTTTTGTATCCATATTTAAAATGAAGATTGACACAGAAAATAGCTAGAGCTCCTTCTAATTTACAGGATTTTAAAAAACCAGTTTAAGATTCTTAGGGAAAGTGTCTGTTGTGAAGAATTTAAAAAAAAAAAAAAAACAACAACCAAACTGCTGCAAAATAAACTTAATGGAAAAAGGGACTTCAGACTGTCAGTTAAGAGTTCGTCAGATGGTTAGTCCTGCTTGGGCTGCAGTTGCCGTTTCCAGGCCTCATTCAAGTAAACTAGTCGTTTGTAGTTGATGATAAGAAGAATGAAGTTCAGCACATATGTGATGACGCAGATTATGCAAAACTCCTTCAGCACAAAGTACAGGATGTAGGCCAGGTACAAAGACCCCACTACAGACATGATGGAGGATGTCATGAGGATTAAAGCTGCAACTGCACTTGCTGTCAGGCCTGCAAGAGAAAGAGACACTTGGCTCAATCAGACCTTGACACTGGAGAGAGAGTTTCTGAGTTAAAAGGTAACATTTTGTGATTTGCTGCAGTGTTGGAATACTGATCTTACAACAAAACATTCTGAAATTGGAGGACAAAAACTACAGGTCTATTTTGTTAAGATTATGCAGGTTGACTCTGCACATAGGATACCAGTTTTATAGCTGCAATATTTTTGACTTGTCAATATTCTAGATGAAATATTAACTTATTTCATAAACCAGCCTCAGTTAAGGCACACAAAGAAAATATGCAGTCTCTCAATCACATTATGCAATGAGCAGATTTGTAAAACTGACAGCCCTACCTCCTCTAATGAATA